CAAAATACCCAAGTATATGGGTACAAAATTCCTCTTCTCGATATTCCGATATAGATTCCAGTCTTGATAATAGATACACAAACACAGTTATATCATTCTAACATTTATCAGTTTTATGACATTTCACATTTTTATAGTTTGTAGATATTGACATTTACCCTAGCGAGTAGTTACAAAATTCCTATTCTTTTTAATATTCGGATATAGATTCCAATCCTTTCTATAAATCTAACACAATTACATCATTTTAACATCATTTAACAGTTTTATGACATTTTATATCTTTACGGTTTTGTAGATATTGACATTTGCCCAAGCTTTCTCCGTTCCCTCTACCGCAGACGTAATCAAACCATGAGATCTACTTTCGCTTTATGTCTGTTTACTGGACCATCGTTTGGTTGCAGTTTTCCATGCACAGGCGCCCCCGATGTTACAAATAAAAAAATATTAAAATATCTTGAAATAACTATGTTTTCTTGAAAAAACAATTCCATTTTTTATATATAGAATTTTTCTCCCAAGCCATCAACTTTTGTCATGAACGTTCCGGACTATAGCTATTCCCAAGAGGCAACCAAAATTATTTTTATATAGGATTTCCATCGTAAACGCCTTTCCTAGCGAGCTCTTCTTTCAAACGGTTCTTTTCAGAAAATGGTTTTAAAGGATTTTCCTCTTAATCCCCAACACTAATTCCACTTTTTAAATATTTTTTCCTCTAACGTCACTATATCGTCAATGAATTACTTAAACTTAAATTCAACATCCATTTTCTTTTCATTTGAAACCTCGTGTAACTCTACGAAACCCCTGACCTAAATCATTACATTGTTTTTCTTTAAAGGACCTCTACCAAAGATCTAATTTTAACGGTGCTTTTGCCTTCCTTGCAAATACCTCTATTGCTCGTCTTTATCAACACTAGCTTACACAGCGGTTTCGAAAAAGTTGGTCGGATGAAAGCGTCAAGCTACAAATGTGTATTTTTAGGCGTAAAGTATCACCAAGGATACTGCAGATTTTTCACTCAGAGGACCATTTTTCTGTAACATTTCTTCCACTGAAAATTCTTCTAAAATTCAGGTGGCGAAAAGAACCTTGTTTCCACAAGTCTGATGAGAAGAAGTAAATGTGCGAAATGACGTTTGCCATGCTGCTATATCTGATTAAGTATTCAGCGCCTGTAGCAGCTCTCTACTTCTACCCATACTAACTTGCGGGGTTGTCGCGTGCGCTTTTACCCTTTATTCCGACGAGCTTTCTCGAAACAGCTGTATATCCCCAATCGGTTACATATGCGAAAAACAAAACCCTCCTCCTTCTTTTAAGTGGCCGTGATTATGATTTTCATGCTGCTGTGGCAAGAAATCTCACACTTTCTTCAAGAACGTTTATGCAAATTCCAGTGGCATCGAGAAAGAAATGCAAAATCCACACTACGTAGTTGAGCACGTTTCATCACCTGAAAACTCGTTCGGCGCATAACAACCTATATAGCTATGAACTGCCATTACCAACCTCCCAAACACCAAAAGAGAACATTTCAGGGTTTTGTATACCTAATTTTTTATTTATCTCATGTAACAAAATACTACAGCAGTGTTAGCTCGGTCTCTCTGTAATTGTCAATTTATTTTAACTTTAAGTCCTACGTGTGTTTAAAATTTGATCATTTTTGACGAACGGCTCAGTAATCTTCATCGAATCTCTGGTGGTTTAGTAGTTTCCACATATTTCCCCCCCTGATAAAATTCCGTGCTCCAAGGCTACTCTCGATCGCTGATCTTTTGCCAGGGGGTGGAGCAACATGCCATCTGTGCAAAGTGTGATATAGTTGATCGAGATTGTCTGGGCTTCCAGAAGCAGTTGGATCGGTGTCCTTTTCTGATGTGTCTTGAGGATCGACTGGCAAATTCCCTTGAGCAGTTACTAAGGATGTTCCTAAGAACAACAGGGAGAGAATATTACAAACTGGTTGCCTCTCAGGCATACGTATTCTCAGCGGTTATTGTTTTTAGCCCGCAACTGCTGTTATGGCGCAACACCTACGCCTCTTTATAATAAATGATATTCGTTAAACGTGAGACGGGTTACATTCTGAAGCAAAAACTCTGTTTTAATATTTCATGCCCCATGACCAATACAATAGAGAAGTCCATCGCCTATGTTAGGGCCAAACTTTGGAACAAAATTGACAATAAAGTTGGAAATACTGGTTCACTTGACGCTTTTAAAAAAAGAACAATTAGGAAAATGTCACGTGATTTCACGGTTTTAAAATACGGATCTAGCCGTTGAATCTTCTGTTTAACAATTAGACCCGTGGCCCTTGAGGGCGAAGGGTCTAATTGTTTTAGCATCACCCAACTAGTCGGACAGAAAAGGCAATAATAAA